TAACTTCATTTTACACTTTACACAAATAATCTGAACTCTCACGTCGCTCTAGTATTTTGCCAGAAACAGAAAAAAGGTTCGATTATTTTCGATTTCGAATAATCGAAGGTTCGAATATTTTCGATTTTGAATAATCGAATTTCGATTATTCGAATTTTAATCGAAATCGGTGCATGCCTAGTAATGATATATCTACAACAACACAGACCCCAACGATTTCGAACACTAATACACATGACATTTTTCAACCAGAGAAGAGAAAAAATACAAAAAGACAGGTAACGAAGGTTCTCGACTCAATTTCACGATTCGCCAATCAAACGAATTCTTGCTAAGGGTGAACCAAATACGAATCCAAAATCAAATAGAAACGAAGAATCTGATCAAAAAGCATTAGTCCACAGTAACAAAATATCTGCTAAGAATTTTGATGATGAAAAAGAGAATTGTTTATATGCTGTTACTAATCACATTATAAACGATAAAATTCCATTTTATCCACCGAAAAAGGCATGGATGGTACACAGAATTATTGGATTGCAATTGTCAGACGATACAAACAAATTGATGTGTTTTTCATGGCCATATTTTGGAACTGAACGTAAAATCACCATATCAAGTGAACCGAGCATTATTCACCCTATTGTTGCAGATGGTAATTGTCTGTTCAAGTATGTAAAACCAGTTAGTAAGAAAAGTCTCCCAATATCCCAATCTAATCGATGTTGTAAAAAAAACATAAAGAAAGCAAAGCAAACTATAGGCTAGCAAAGGATTGCAGTTATACCACAAAGCCATTAAATTTTTTCAATTTAACTGAAAAGCTGTTTAATCAAACTGTTTTAATTTCAGAATGCTACAAACTTGAAAGAACTATATGAGATAAACAAGAAAAACCTTATTTAGCTTTTTCGATGTCTATTAAAAATCAAATTTACATATTTTGTCAGCGTAGCCATATTAACATCTAAACATGATTTCTCTATTCAAAGGTGGACGAGTTACGTGTTAACAGGATCTGAAGATTATCATCTTCCAATTCGCAAAGCAGCAATTAATCAAATCAAAAATAATGATTATACAGCTTATAATTCAACTACTCTTGGTCTACAATATGCCTCACAAACAAAAATGAACTTATCTGGTACATTATCTACCGAAAAAGAAATATTTGCGTTGTGTGATATATTGAAATGTCATATTTATGTATTTCAAGACGATACAAAAAAGTGGATAAAGTTTAGCCCAATCCATGCACAACATTTCGGTTTAACATCGATTTATTTAGTTAGAAAAAAAGAATTCATTTTGATGTAGTGCTCGATGTAGTTGGTGCGACGTCATGATACACATGCACTTAGTGAAAAAATGTCATGAGGGACTTGTCAGAGTGGTTCCAAGTTTTAAACTGTTTTCTGACTTTTTTAACTTTTGTTTTCGAAAGCCAAGTTTACCGTTTCTTCACCCATATAAAAGCAATAAAATGACAGTAACTTGACAAGTTCAGGCATGAATAATTCAATATATGATCGTCTGTTTCAATATCAAATTTACTATCATAAATATTACGGCTATATTTCTAACGATCACTTAATGCAAATTCGTTTGTTTTAAAATACTGTGATAGCGTTTTGCGCATCCCTAATTCCAGTTAAAGCAATTGAACATGCGTCCACAAGATAATTTCCATTTCCTGCGGAAATAGTAGTAAACATGAAAACGTATTAATTAAATAAAGGATAAGTGCTAGAATCGGCAATAGTATACCTTACCGTCGGTCTGTATTGCATATAATTTTGCACATGACGAATACCAGTTTATCACATTAGCTACTTCAAAACTCTTTTGAATAAATTCATCAAATAAATACTTCGAGAATAAAGAAATCTCATTTTTAGCAAGTGAAAGAACAATTATATGTTTCGAATCTGTTAAAACATTTGATAACTCCTCCTTTTCACGAACTGAACGCTCATATTCTTGAAAAATTAACGTTGTTGATGAAACAGATGCATCATAATACATATTTGCTTATAAAAATACCTCACATAGTGTATGGAATAAAGTTCAATTGAGTCATCCGTAAATCAAACTACATTTATAACTACACATGTCCACTGAATTATTAACTATTAATCTAATAAGCCGCGTAAAACGTCCATTCTTTAGTTTTATTAGTGCCCTTGCTATGTAACATAGAGATACCTCGACGTTTTTGAGTAACACATTTATGCAGTATATAAGTGCATTTTGACTAGAAAAAGAAATGACTAGGGAAAGCGTACTATTGGTCAGGTACAGATAATTGTCCAATTTGTTTTTCCAGTGTTGATATTTTCCTCGCCATTCTTGTTTCGAATGCATTTAACATGTTTTCAAATTTCGATGCTTGAATCATCAGTAGGTGGTCGACAGAACTATTGCTGCTGCTTGTTGTAGGTGGTATAATTGAATAGGCATTACTTACCATTTCTGAGTCGATTGATGGCGATATAGACGATGAGGTATTTTCTTTTCTAACTGTACTATTACTCCATACTATTTGTTCAACATGACGTGGTCGTTGACGTTGTTTATCAGCAATCGGGCAAGCAGTTGATTGATGACCAACACCGCCACACATAAAACAAATCATAGGCAAATAAAATTCCTTCACCTTCTTTATCTCGTGCCAGATAACCATGAGACCGTCATCGAGTAAATGCTCAACTTGCTCTGGGGAATCAAACTCAACACAAATTGAGCGCATAGGTTGATTGTCACGATAAAGCATTCGTTTGACATCCACAATGCTATTACCATATTTATTCATCAAATCATCGTATATATCATTCAACTTCCAATCAAGTGGCACATCGACAATAACCAATAAATTAGGATCAATACGACTACTTGGCAAATTCGGTTGTTTGAATAAGAATAGAGTAGATCGTGATTTCTAATGGGCTTTTTATATCATCTTTTTGTCTCACTCAACCATTGTGAAATAACTCGTTACATCACATTTTATTATTTATGCAATATAAAATTCACAATGAACAGTCGTCACTACCACAGATGATGAAAAACATTTCCTTTCGTTCTATTATTCTTTCATTTTCCACTTACAAAGAACGAAGAAGTGACTAAATGTTTTTTGAAAGGTGTACAACACACACACCACATGTGAATAAAGACGTTTTTATATTCCAAAACTACACTCATACTCTCAAGAATATATATAGTGAATATCAAACTAATAACGTCGTTTCAGTGGACTGAATCAGCGTCTTTTTAACAAGCAAAAATGATCTTCACTTCACGCGACGTTTTCTTCCAAGCGATGTTTTGTATATAACAATCACCGTTTCCCTTTTCATGTGCGTTTAAATAAATTATGAAGACTTTCTTTTTCATTTCGACATTCTTTTTCCTCGTTTTATATACTAAACTTCCTTCGTTCTTTCCTTCATATCAGTCGAAGAGTATAGAATCAATCTGCTAAACTCATTCTACCGGTCATAACTTGGTCAGTTTTAGTGCAAACTACTTAATTCTTTTACCATTGGATTCAAGAGACTTTTCTCTACTCAGATATGTAAAAAAGTATAGAACTTCTTCGAAACTCATTATAAAGTAATCGAAATAAGTCAATGAAGAAAAAATCCGTTCTTGTTAGGCACATTGACTCTACGTCACAGTATACAGATATAGAAAGGATATATATCTACTTGAATGACCAAGCGTTTATTCAAGTGTATGCTTTTGATAGGACTAGAAAAGGTCAACAAGCGTAGTCATTTTTTTCGCCTGGCCTTATTTTTGAACTTTTTCTTGAGATGTTTTCACCATTATCTAGCTAGGAATATCGAATGAAAACATGAATTTTCGGTTAATCATTCGAAATGAGCGAGATCTTGCGCTTTTAAAACATTCCCCTTTGTTTCTCTTTTTATTAAATACTGTATTTATTCAAAAGAAGCACTGAATTTAGATTTTCTGATTAAAACACTCCCATTGAAATTCAGCATAAACACCGAACATATGTTTTTACTTCTATCCAAATATAGGCCGCCGTCCTCTTGATCTGCGGTAGATGTCTACAAACTGAGGTTTTCGGAAATGCGTATTTTTAATGAACCTTGGTCTGAAATCTAGGATAGTTCTTTTGCAAATGTACCACATTTACATCGACTTTCTGCCAATCGTACGGCACTTTTAGGACTAGTAGAAGTCATGATGGTGATCACAAAAATCATCTTAAAACTTTCAAAATGACCGCATGGGACGAGGTTCCCGAAACACTTTCCAGCAAAAGTGTTTTTATTATAATTTTGCCATTTCAAAAGATGAAAAAGTTCAAACTGCTTCTACAAATACTACTCACCGAAATGAGTATCTTCTGTAGCGAAAAGCTTTTGCCCAGTGTTCTAGTCTCTTTTAAGAAAAATTATACAAAAACGCGATTTTTGGTATTTTACCCATTCAAATATCTCTATGGAGGCAAAATGAAAATTTAACACCAACGTATGATTTAGAATCCCCAATCTCTTGCCTCTGTAATGGTGCAAACCACGGGCGTTGAGCTATTTTCTAGAATAGTAGACACTGACTGCTACTATCGGAATTTTTAAAGAAAGCGCGTGGAAGAAAAGCTTATAACTTTTGAACGGAAAGTCATAGCAACTGCGGTTTTCAGGGTTCAATAGACGACAGTCGGACGCACATGCCAACGTGGAAAAGTGATCTTCCTAGGTACTTTTTCAGACCAGATTTAGCCTACCAAATTAAGGGCAAATTAGCGAACTTTTTAGAGGGATTTTTTTTCGCAGGATTGGCACCCCGACATGCCCTCTTCTTGCTGGGTGTAAACACACAACAAAAGATAAAAGGAATGTTGTGACTGCTGTATTCTTTTCTGTTCTCTACAAGTATAAGCTATGGAAAAGACAGAAATAGACAAGCGACAAAAGCAGATCTGAGCAAGCGTCCTGTGTTGAGATGGGATGATTCATATCTTCGTTGCCACTTAAACCTTTCAGCCACATACTAAATTAACGTGTTTGCCTTAAGAACTGATTAGAAAGAAATGGCTGTATACCTGGTACCTTATTGGAAACTTGTCAAGGACGTGACATCGACAGATATTGTATGAAATAACATATACGCTATTTTATAGCTGCTAGCTGCAGAATTACTCATCCACCCAAAGATGAAAAGCAGGAAGGAAAAACAACAAGGTATATTTGAATTGTCTAT